TGGGTCATGCTAGACTGCGCCGGCGCCGCTGCACGGCCGCCGTGATGGCTGCAGGTGGGCACGGCACCGGCGCGGCGGCACTGGCGCCCGGCCGCGCCCCGCTCGGCCCGGTCGGCGGCACGGCTCGCGGTCCGGAGCGTCTCGGCGCCGGCTCCGCTGCCGGACGGGCAGGACCAGCCTCCCCCGGCAACACGCCCGTCCGGCAACGCTCCCGGCGGCCGAGCATCGTCCTTGCTTCACTAAACACCACCACCGCTGAGATCAGAACCGCCCTCGCCCAGTCACTAGCTCAGGTGGGCCGCCTGGCAGTGGTACGGAGGGAAGATCAGGATCGACAGGGAGCCCAGACCAGGATCAGGAGACGGAGACTGGGAGAGCGCACCCTCCCCAGCTCCCCAACCGCGCTACGTCACCGCCCCCAGCTCTTGTGACCGCGCTCGGTCAACTGTCAGCTGCTGCGAGTCACTATTCCGGTCGACAGGGATGGGAATGCCTGTACCGCAGAGTCCCGCGGAGCAAAAGCCGCTACCCTGGTGGCCGGCGCGACGGAGCACAAGCCAGCGCCTGGAGCACCACACAGGCTCGCCGGGAGCGCCCGTGTCTCACAGTGCTCGACCACATACCCGGCGACGTGCCTGTGCGCTATCCTCCCCTCACTTGTCACGGCGGCCAACGCAGAGATGACAGCCGGCAAAGGATAATATTATGGGACTCAAAGCGGTTTACAGTTCGCCCACGTTCCCAGCATAGCATTACTGCCTGTAAGAACGACCAGAGGAATCCATCGCGAGCAAAAGCAGGCAAGGTCATGGCGAATCCAATTTCTTGCGCCCGTAGTTAAAAGGAGCCCGCACATTTGACGCAGCGGAGTGGGGAAAGCTAACAGTAGTGGCAGCTGTAACGCAGCGCCAGCCGATATTTTGCGCATTTCACCCGTGGTACAATGGTGGGGGGGGGGGGGGGGGAGGAAGAGAGGGCAAGCAATGACTTTGGGGACAAAGTAAAAAATTCTGAATTTTCAAACAACCATCGTATTTTACTTTGTGAGCAGTGCTCAGCGCTACACGAAATTTCCTACCTAAAAATGCTTAGATTTTACCGAAGACTAGAAAATGTTTATTTTTAAAGCGTTTCCCTCCCCTCACTTGAGGTGGGAATAACCCGATTGGCATGCTAGAACTCGGCGGATAGCCAAAATCATCACTAGAATATGCGAGAACACTGGAATTTGGAGGTGCCAAAAAACACAAGCATTTTCAAAACCACTCAATATTTACTTGGCATGTTATTCTAACCGTTATCCATGATGTGCATGTGGCTGAGACAGCATCGCTTGGTCTCTTCACGCTGGGGCCAGTGTCGGACAGAGCGAACTATACCGCAGAACCGGTACACCACTATGGTATTGGGCTCCTGCAGAACCCGTATTAATAACAATGGAGAGACAGTATACGCGCGGAATATCGCAGCGTCGCGATGGAAAGGGTTGCGGGACATGTGCTTAATACTAAGGCTACGATACACAATATTTCTAGAGATTACCAGAGGCTCAGTCCTTGACTGCTCTATTTGCACATGTCGCAAAACAGCGACGGCATTCCTCCGCGGACTTCCTGCAAGGACAGTTCCTCTTATGCCAACATGCTTCGAATAGCCCACACAATTGAAAAATTCTCAGTGGCCCCACCTGGCTACAATCACCTGAATATGCCTTTGCCGACCTATCGCAGGCTCCAAAAATTCGAGCACAACACAGCTCAGGTCTGGTTTCGTCTGTGTGCTGGAGCGCAGTCATCACGTCTTGTCGACAGCAATGGGGCTCAAAACGCCAGACCAGCATTTGGTGAGAACACAACGTCGGATCAAAGGAGCGCGGTATGGTTCCGCCACCTCAGCCGTGGAAGGTTTACCCAGACCACCCAGCGCCAGCCGCCACAGCGATCGGGTAGAGTACGAATATCGCTGAGGACAAGACCTCGTGCGAGACACAGACAAACTGTCTCACAATGCAACCCCAGTGACCTCCCACGTTGCCTGTGTTCCCAGGAGCGTTGGGGCGTGGGACTGTCAAGGTCTCTGTGAAGCACCAATGGAAGCGAAGCCAGAACCGCAGCGTAAATGTGGGAGGCAGCGTAGCGCGTAGGCGTGGGAGTAAGCAGATCGGAAGCATAACACGGCGTTGGTGCACGAGTGCCCTAGGCGCTACACCAAGACTTTGTAACGGGTCATGCTGTCAAAGTCGGAGCCCTGAGGACGTCCAGAGCGGTCAAATGGTGGGCGGCTCTACCATCCGACCATCGCTGAGCCCACCACAGCGTTCCGACCAAACACTCAAGAGAGCGGTTTCGAGAGTCCGCTCTGTCGCCGGTGTCGGTTCGTGACCCACGGCGCCGGCGGGCGCCGCGTGGCGGCGGGTCGCGCGGCCGGCGCCGGCAGGCTCCCGCTGCATGGCAACACGCCGGCTGGCGGCGCGGGCAGCTGTTTCGAGAGCCCGCTCTGTCGCCGGCGTCGGTTCGTGACCCACGGCGCCGGCGGGCGCCGCGTGGCGGCGGGTCGCGCGGCCGGCGCCGGCAGGCTCCCGTTGCATGGCAACACGCCGGCTGGCGGCGCGGGCAGCTGCATTTACAAGGCCGGCAGCGGCCGAGACGGGATTCCAGGCGGTGGCGCGCGGCGGCGGCGGCGGCGGCGGCGCCGTCCGGGACGGCACGGCACGGGGTGAACCAGGGCTCAGACGCGTCGTCAGCACGTCCGGCGCTGCCACAGCGCAGGTCGGTGCCCGTGGCCCCGACTTTGGCCGGTGCCGGTGCCGGAGACGGCAGCCGTCTGACCCCGGCTGACACAGTACGCGCACCGGCGCCGGGCGAGTACAGCCTTACTCCCGAGGCGCCGGGGTCGCAGGGTGCACACCACGTGACGAAGGTGCAGGACGAACCACTCCATGGGCGGCTAGTACGCAATCGATTTTCCGGGTCTTACAATGAATACCGACGTGGGGAATATCCCCATGCAAGTCCTAAAGGCGAGCATAGCACGTGATCGCGATCGGTCTCTGTCACATCTAAAGGCTGCTGTAGTGCGGCGTCATCCCTCCGAGTCGACATTGTCGCGCCGGCACCCACTTCACAGATGTTCAGCAGTCCGCCAGGACCAAGTGCAACATGCAGGAAGGGTCTATACAGCATCAATACCATGGATGACATGTAGATAGTTAGTAGTGCTATAAGCAAGATGGTAAGACTAATTTTGAGTCCACAAATACCCTGCAAGGCAGACCATATAAAAACCTCATATATCCAATAAGCTTTAACCAGTCTGCATGCCAACAAAAGCATAAATTACCACACAAAACTAAATGTACTGCAGTTAGGGATGTCTTTGCCAATAAAAACATGCTGGTTGGAAAAACAGGCAATCTGAATGATGCAGGAAATGTCAAACAACAATTAAGTAATATGAATACCTTATCACAGCATAAAACACAGGACCAATGTAAATAGTTACAAAATGATAATAAGATGCAGAAGCGGTGAATGCAAAAGGTGCGTAAAATCCAAATATATCACAAAAAGAAGCAATACTTACAAACCAATGATATTTTTTAATAAATGGCCACTGAGTAACTATATGATAAATGGGTGTGCATTACCATCTTTCATATAGTACAATTGGTAGCACACATGAGTTTGTTAAAACCAGGAAACCATCTCTAAAAACTGGTATAAATATCACACAGTCAAAAGTGGAGAGCTCAACACACCACACTCATCCTGCACTAAAACCTGTTATGGTGCAATCTATCAAAGAGGTGATCATAAGTGCATTGCATCTGCCCAGTCCAGTGGTACTCATCAAGTGTAAAGCATCAAACAGGCCTCCAAAAGGGGTGGATGTTTCTCAAACACCAACACAATCTCCAAGGACACAAGCCTTGCACCTTTCTGAGGCTTAAAGCCTCTCCTTTCCAATCTATATCTGGCCATCCTGTCCCTCAGGATATTTGTATGGCTATTTGCCAGCAAGCTCTACTTCCTTTTTATTTGGCCTTGGCTACAAAAGGATCCAACCATGATTTTAGTATGAGTCCCCTGATTATTGACAAAGATTTTACATTGAATACAAACGTGACAAGTTTAAACCGCATGCACAGACACTCTCTAATATCGCAATGACGTGGATGCACAGCGCACGCATGTCTAAATACATAAGTATATTTTTTGTACATGTACTCGACTCGGTCCTTAGTATCTAAGCATAAACATTCTGTAGGTCGCAGAGTTCTCACCTCAAGGCCTGACCAGAGTATGCGCCGGAAGTCGAAAGAGCGCGAAAGTATCGATGCTCGAAACGTCTGCTCCACGTGTTCTGCTTGCGAACCAACGCTATCCCATTTGTCCACGCGCGAAGACGGAGCGGCACCCTCCCTCCAACACTCGCCAATGAATGAAATTCCTCTACGTCCACAACCGTGCAGCTGATTGGCGGCATTTGGTAGCACCCAACAGCTTCAGGCAATTTTCTTCACGTTAGAGGGCACCACTTTGTCCGGGAAAAGGTATCCTGTTGACACTGGTTATCCCTGCTGTGTCGATGCATTTAAGTTTTGAAAAGTACTTAGTTGAGTTAAATGCATTCAAATAAGGCAGGAAGAGCCAGTTTCGTATGTGTCCGGCGTTTCCATTTTTTGGAATCGTAGTTATCAAGTGGCAATCGCTCACAGCCTAATAGTGGTGAATAAAGTGCCGCTTCTACGAGGCCTTTAGTCTTCCGAGATGAAATTTATTCTTTTAACATCAATATAACTAAGTTTCTAAAAAAGGTCCGTTGAAATGTCATTTCTGCACGAGCATGCCGCAAGTAAGCAAATGGAACATAAAACTGCAACAAACAAGGATGAATTTTCCCTGGTCAGGCTAAATTTGGTAGCAATAAGTGCTTTGCCATACATGCTTTACTTGCGGCGTTTACGTGCATGGCGTGCATGAGCAGACCATGTGATCAGGAAGTACTGACCTTATCGGTAGGCGAGTTGGCATTCGGCGAGGAAGTGGAGGAGATTTCAGGAACTCAATCGCGCATAGTTCCAGCTTGTATTATCCATAAGGTACGTTTTTGAGGCTGTCGCTGTTAAGATTTGAGAACTCGGTGGGTGCTTCTGGAGGAGGTCCCGCCATGGCTTTGGTGGTCTAGACCTGAACCCTGTCTGGAACGCCAACATGTTCACGTTATGTTGAGGATAGCCAACGCAGCAGCGATATCGTGGCAAAAATTTAATCGCACATGCTTCATAAATGTGGTAACTCAAAAACAATGTTGGTGGTGGTGAAGTAATTTCTTCAGAAACACTCAAAACATTTTTCTCAGAAATAGATCCAACACAATGCAATTCAGTCTGGCCTGATTTTGCTACTGGTACATGGTACTGTCTGGCACATACCCTGACTGATATAGACATGATGTGCAGAATGTGTCCAGTATTTCAATGAATATTCTATGAGCAACTTCAGTGCATACATGCAGTGAATGCAGAAGCTCAGAGTCAGGCACATGTCTGCCACCAATATCATCACATGAGAGTCAGTGCCTCAGGGAATTATGATGTTGTCAAGATAGTTGCACCCAAAATTTCTTGAAAATATTTTTCAAGCAAGAATAATTTTAAAAGTTCAGTGCCAGTGACTCTGGCCTGAGTTTATTGCATACAGACTCATTTTTCATTGCATCCATGCTGTTTGTGTGTATCTGGTACTGAACAGATTTATTTGCAGACTGGGCTGTTAGTGAACATCTGAATTAAATTGTATCAACATGTTAAATGATATAGAATTTCAGTGCACAAGAAAAATTGCTACAGCAAGAGTAACTCAGTGCATCACAGATCAAGTGAAAAGAATGCATGTTGAAATGGAAGGAAGACTCTTGATGGTTAGGGTAGTGCATGTATTGTCAGCACTCTGCTGTGGTTTTAAATGGGAAATGGGGTGCTGCAGCCTATTATCATAAGTATTATATTCATACTGGCTTCAATCTGGCAAAGTAAATGGTATTTTTATAGCTATTAAATTTGGTTTTAATGACAGCATTCTGCAGGCTGAATTCTTGCCATACAATATTATGTGATAATTATCTGCAGTGCATGGATAACATCACAATTACAATATGAAGCAATGCATTGCATTAAAGTGGATCAAAAGTTGCACCTTTTTGAACCAATTAAAGGGTGCTAAATTGGGCAGGGTGATTGATCTGACACAAATTTGGAGATAAGAATGTGGTCTGAATATGCAAAGTGAGTTCCTGGAGCCTGTCATCATATGCTCCCATGAGATCCATTATTCATTCTTTCTGTTATGCATATGCTATTGCTATCACCATTAAGCATTAAAAGGATAAGGGACTGGGTAGCTTAAGACAAGCATCAGTTGTTTGTTGGAGTTATTTGCTGCTGACTGTGAATTGTGTGATAGATCATGATATCAGCTGCATGGGCCATGTGCTTCAGTTACCACTGATCTCTTTTTCTGGGGTCTTATGGTGTTGCATTTAGCCACATATGCTGTATGGGGTTACCTACTGGTGTCTATCAGAGTGGTCTAACAATTGACAGTGGTGCCAGAAGCTATGCAGCCAAGCCTATCCAGAAGGGGCACAGATGCTCAAAACTGAGAGCATGCTGCTCTCTGAGCCAAGTTCTAATTGGGAATAGAAATACAGGGTGCTGGTAGTGCAGTGGTTAACATGTCTGTCAACCCCTGCATGTCTGGGAATCCAGAGGTGCGGAGTTTGATTCCCCGCAGTGCCCGCCCTTCCTGCCGGAGTGAGAGGCAGGCGACGCCATGTAGCCCAGCAGCTGAGTGCGTCATGAAGCCCCAATGACGCAGGCCAATTGGGAAAATCAGTTGGGGGTCTGATAATTGGATCTCAAAATTTAATTTTACCCCAGGTAATGTTAGGTGGTCCATCCCAGCTCTCCTGTCCATCTCGTGCATCTGTGTGTAATGCTACTGTTCATGAATGCCCTAATGCATTGAATCAGAGCGTAAGCAAGACAGGAATGTGAAAATGATAACCCAATTTCAGTTAGAGCAGAGGTCTTTGAAGCACAAATGCCAGCTTTCCTGTATTTGAGGGGACTTCTGGGACCTACCTGTCAACTTCTAGTGCATTGGTTCACTCATGTAAAACTAAGCAGGGCTATGGGCACTATGTTGTGCTAGTTGTCTGTCTGTGTTGTCCAACGCCAATGTCTGTGCTCGTTAGATACAGCATATGTCGTTCCCATACCGACCACACCACCTCGTCAGCTCGTCGGTTTTGTTGCAGCTGTCGGCGCCATGGCGAAGACAAAAAAGCGTGCGCAAGCGCGCATCAGCTCGAAGCCCAGTGGGTTCAACCCGGCCGGGCACAGCATGAACCCGGACCGGGCGTCGGCCAAGGTGGACCTGCGGGGCGCGCCGTTCGCGCGCGACCGCGCCACCATCAAGCGCCTGCAGATGTACCGCAACCAGAAGGCCAAACGGGACAAGCACGGCAAGATACTGCGACCGATGCCGTTCCAGTCGAAGCTGACGCCGGGCACGGTGGCGCGCGTCGAGCCGAATCAGCGATGGTTCGGTAACACGAAGGTCATCTCCCAGGGCGCGCTGCAGAAGTTCCAGGAGGAGCTGGGCGCGGCCGTCAAGGACCCGTACCAGGTGGTGATGAAGCAGAACAAGCTGCCCGTCACGCTGCTCGGTGAGCGTGCCAAGACGCAACGCGTCCACCTGCTGGAGACGGAGAGCTTTGACAGTGTGTTTGGACCCAAACGGACGCGCAAGCGGCCCAAGATCACCACCAGCGACCTGGCCAGCTACGCCGAGCGCGTGTCGGCAACGCAGGACCGGTACGCGCCCGAGAAGGACCGCGACCTCGTGCGCGAGGCGCCTGACGTGCGCGAGGGCCAGCGCGACTGGGTCATGGGCGCCGGACAGAGCAAGCGCATCTGGAACGAGCTGTACAAGGTGATCGATTCGTCGGATGTGGTGGTGCAGGTGCTGGACGCCCGCGACCCGATGGGCACGCGGTCACCCTACGTGGAGAAGTACCTGAAGAAGGACAAAGCGCACAAGCATCTCATCTTCGTGCTGAACAAGGTGGACCTTGTGCCGACTTGGGTGACGCAGAAGTGGGTGGCGATGCTGAGCCAGGAGTACCCGACCATGGCCTTCCACGCGTCGCTGACCAACTCGTTCGGCAAGGGCGCGCTCATCAACCTGCTGCGCCAGTTCAGCAAGCTGCACTCTGACAAGAAGCAGATCAGCGTCGGCTTCATCGGCTACCCCAACGTGGGCAAGAGCTCCATCATCAACACCATCAAGACGAAGAAGGTGTGTAAGGTAGCGCCGATCGCCGGCGAGACCAAGGTGTGGCAGTACATCGCGCTGATGAAGCGTATCTACTTGATCGACTGTCCCGGCGTTGTGTACCCGTCCGGTGAGACGGACACCGAGAAGGTGCTGAAGGGCGTGGTGCGTGTCGAGCTCATCAGCAGCCCCGAGGACTACATCCCGGCCGTGCTGGAGCGCGTGCGGCCCGAGTACATGCGGCGGACGTACGGCGTGGCCGACTGGACCGACTGTGAAGACTTCCTGGAGCGCATCGCCAAGCGCACCGGCAAGCTGCTCAAGGGCGGGGGCCCGGACGTCAACACCGTCTCCAAGCAGATCCTGAACGACTTCCAGCGCGGCCGGGTCCCGTACTTCGTGCCGCCGCCCGGCTGCGGCACGGCTCGCGAGGCGGGCGCGGCCGACCCGCGGGCGGAGCAGGCCGGCAGCAGCGCGCAGGCGCAGGCTGAGCAGGCCGGCGCCAGTGGGGAGGCGCAGGCGGCGGACGGCGAGGAGCCCCAGGCGCAGCCGGTGCACGCCGTCAGCCAGGACCTCAGTCGCGTGCGCACTGACCTGGAGTTCGAGGGCGACGACGACCAGCCGCTGCAGCAGGACGAGGATCTGTACGTGTCGGACGACGAGCCGGACGAGTCCGAGAGCGAGGACGAGAGCGAGCCGCTGCAGGTGGAGCCGCAGCCGGCCACCGCGGGCGCCAGGAGCAAGCGGAAGTCGGGCAATAAGAGGAAACTCGTCGAGGACGACGGCGATGGTGCAGAGAAGTCTGCCGACAAGAAAACAGCCAAGCAGAGGCGGAAAGAGGAACGGGAAAAGAAAAGCAAAAAGATAGGATCCAATTTTTACGACGTTGTTAATGTCAAGAACAAGAACCGAACGAAGCCAAAGGCTTCTAACGTAGTACCAGGAAAGCGAAATCAGCAGAAGAAAAAAAAGCGAGCCTCCTGATTGTTTTTTTTTTTTTTTTTTGGTGCGATGGATTGATGGTGACTTGTCATGTCTTATGCCTTGAAATGGGAACGATTGGGATAGCATGCTGCTAGACCCAAAGAAGTGTAAGATCCTATTGATAGGAGGGTGTCTCAATATATGTTAATGGGCCACGAATGCTGGAAAATTTGCTGCGGTACCAGTAACGCCACCACACTGTCACAATGCCCTCAGCTGATCGGCATGCAACAGCGATACAACGCAGACACTATGCCCTTTTTCTGGGGATGAATCACCACTCTGGAATTGAAACGAGAGTGACTTTTGGACCTGGCCAAACTTACGACGCAACTAATGCAAAGTTATTGCTCGAGAAGCAGAGTTGTCATTTTGTTAATCGGTTGAGGCCCAGCTGAAAGCAGGTACCTAACATAACCCACAACCTTATTTGTACCCGGATTTCGGCCACTTAAATTTGCATCTTCGGTGTTTAAACAGAAACTTTTGACATTTCGTCGATTCGGAATTGTTTTCCGGTGCAGGAATGACTTCCCATTTCGAGTTCTTGCGAGCTGCCTTCTTGTGAAAATCTTAGAATGTGGGGGAATACCCTGCAAACATCTTAGTAAATGTTAAGAAGGAATCTTTGATGGCTGTTGCTGATCGTGCTGTATAACCATCACAGCCATGGTTATACAGCAATCGCACCGTACAATTAGACTCGTCACTGCTGGTAAAACATGCCATGACTTTTAACTGGGCCACTGTGCTTTTAAAAGCTGTCGCGTATTGCAGTACATTGTTTTTAATCCCAATCCAGGTGCTACCATGTGAAGAGCTCGTTAAATATTTGCAGACTGGCTTAACGTATGGAGGAGTTAACGCGACAAAAACATTAGGTACCTAAAGGACACTGGCGAAAAATTAGCATATTAATAATGATGTTTTTAGGTACCTTCTGCCTAGTATACCAATCAGTAGCACAGGCAGGGCGGCGCAAGGGAATCGTGACCCCCTCCTCCTCCCCTTGGAGTCCGAAGGAATCCGAAGTAACTCGCGAGTCCGAAGGAATCCGAAGTAACTCGCGAGGAGGTTAGTCCCGAGTTATTGTGTTAGGTTAGTCCCGAGTTAGTCCGAGGGGCTCTTCAGGCCTCTTGGGACCTACGATTAAGGGCCCAATTTCGGGGCCTGATTTTGTTCCCCGATTTAAGGGCCCAATTTGTGGGCCAGGGACCACTGAACACAGAGCAGACCACGAGCACAGCTTCCTGTCAGTCTGAACACTAGGGGCCCATTTCCCAAACAGAAGCAAGGCCGGGGGTCACGATCTGTGTTGGCCTGTGTCGGTCAGGGGGTCCTCAGTGCGTAAGAGAATGAGAATAAGGGTCGTGTGTCGCTAGTGGCCCTGAGTCCGTCACGGGCTTTGAGGAGGCTCGAAGAGGGACTGAGCGGCCCCTCGGTACCAGAAATAAGGGGCCCGTTGGACTTCGGTACGGCGCCCACCCCCCACCCGCAGTGACCTGACCTCAAATGTCAGTTAGAGGGCTTCTATAAAGGGCCTTATTACTACGCCAGGACCCGCGATTTGCAATGTTCAGGGTTCCTGACACAATGAGGGACTCCTGTGTCGGTCAGGGGTGACAGTGCTCATCAGGGGTCTTGTGGCGGCACCTGGTCCCGAGTCGGCCAGAAGCGGTATTTAAAGGGGCCATGCATGTCACATTAAGGACCACCGCCCGCAAAACCGTGATCTGAAATGCCAGTGGGAGCGTCTCTTGCACCGAATGGAGACCACTGAGACAGAACATTCCTCTGTTTCGGCCAGAGACCCCCAACACCGAACAGTCAGCTCCGTGTCGGTCTGAACTCTAGGGACCCACTTCCCAAGTAGCGACACGACTGGACCCGTAATGTACATTTGTCGGAGCCCCTGTAACTATGCGAGGCTCTTGTATCGTTCAGGGACCCACAGTGCCTTACAGTACATTCCGTGTCCACAAGGGGCCTCGAGTTGGTCAGGGGGAGATTTGCTCACAATGGACCGGGATGAGACCCTGAAGGACAAAGGGTCTCTGCGTTGGCTGTGGCCCTCTGAAAATGAAAGGAAAGACAAGGGCTTATGATGATCGGTCGCATTGGGGCAATGGAAGGGTCCTGTGCCAGTCAGGGTCGCCAGCACCGAACGGAGGACCCTCCACTATAATTCCAGCATGGGCCCGTTAAGCCGAACTAGAGTCTAAGTGCCAATTATTGGACCGCCTGCAGCGGTCGGGGATGTTGTTGCGTCAATGAGGGGTTCTACGTCGATCCGGTGTTCACTATGGCCTGTGCTGGTCAGAAGGCCTCCCGGGTCAGGGAGGGGACCAACGTGATATGAAATACCCCTCCAAGGGCATCCAAATCAACCAGGGAATCCTGCCCCATGTCTCCAGAATAGCAGCCGGAACACCGCGCGGGTGGACGGAATGGCCCTTCGGCCCTTGACCGTGAGCAATAGTGTGCCCCCTAATGTTCTACTCAGGGGGTCGTCGCCTGCGAAATAAAGGGTCTCAGAAGTGTTGAAAAGAGCGTTTCGAAATGAGTTCAAAAACGAACAAGATCGTCCCATGTTTGTCTGATAGCGTTCATTATGCGTAGTTGATTGATGATGAAGCAAATCACATCAAAAGGTTTGAACCTGTGCGTCCGCAATCTCGGAACCAACGGCAGCGAGGGCCTGGCTTGCAGTTTCCGTAAAACTGAATGAGTAACATCAGGCGACGGATGCCGTGCGCGCGAGAACGACCGTCGTGGGATAATTATTCCGAATGTTTTTCAAAATTGAATCGTACTTTTAAAAGATTAGACCAGGTGTATCGTTTTACAGTTCCCAAGTTAGAGCTGTAAAAGCTGCTGCCATCGTTGATCTGCTCTAGACATATTAACAATAACAGTAACACGTAAAAGAGAGATTCTACCTTTACTCTTCCAGTTCCACTATCAGATGATTCCAGCTCCACTTCGTGGTCGTGTCAACGCCAATTCGTTATCATCATCAATGTAGAAATCGTACGGATGAAATGGACGTCTGGACGACTTTCAAAATTTAAAATTTGATGCCCTGAGTGTTCAAAGGTACTTTCTGACGCGTCACCATTTCCGTCCACTTGTTAGCGACGACGTGGTGTTGGCCACGGGACCAACGTTGCGCTGCCCATGGAGACTGCAACGCCTGACATCTTGGTTTTGTTGTCAAAATTTGCTATCGCGCATGCTCAGAACGTTGGACATAATTTGTTTAACCCATTTTGATCTAAAATCATTGGAGGGCTTCAATACAGTCGCATTGGAGGGCTTAGCCCCCCCCCCCCCCCCCCTGAAAGTACATATAGTGATACCCCTGTTGAAAAGTGGTGCTGAAAACGGTGCTTGGCATGTTGGCAGTGAAGATGTTGCCCCATTGCACTTCAGCTCCAACAGAGTTCAAAGCAGACGTATTCATGGAATCCGCGGAAGCCTGCGAGGTGGCACAGCTATACTCGTTGGCCCTCAGCAACCCGCCCCCTATTACGATCGACGGCACTTGCTGACTCCCTTTCGGCATCGCTGTTGCTCACTTCGCCATATGATGCCCCTGTGACAAAAAAAATCTGCGAAGCTCGTTGGTACCGAGGCACACACACATGTTTGTGTTCTATGGCGGTATTGACACGGCATGATGGAGGATACACATGATGGTGCTGACACGATATGCCAGTATCGACACAACATGACGGTACTGACACGGTATAAAGTATTGTCACGGCGTGACGGTATGGACACGATATGCCGGCACTGACACGACATGACGGCATTGACACGGCATGACGGTATTGACACGGCATGACGGTATTGACACGACATGCCGGTATTGACACGACATGACGGCATTGACACGACATGACGGTATTGACACGACATCTTGGTATTGACACGACACCTCGGTACTGACACGACATGCTGGTGTTGACACTTGACGGCATTGACACGACATAACGATACTGACACGATATGACGGCATTGACGCGACATGATGGTATTGACACGACATTTCGGTAGTGACACGACATGCTGGTATTGACATTTGACGGCATTACCAGGACATGACGGTATTGATAAGACATGACGGCATTGACACGTGACGGTATTGACCCGACATTTCGGTAGTGACATGACATGCTGGTATTGACGCTTGGCGGCATTGACACGACATAACGGTATTGACGCGACATTTCGGTAGTGACACGACATGCTGGTATTGACATTTGACGGCATTGACAGGACATGGCGGTATTGACACGACATGATTGAATTGATACGACATGAGGGCATAATCCATGTTTGTATTCCATAACGGTGCTTCTCAGTATGCATGGACTCACGGGTGTCGATGTATGCTCGTTGTGAGAGCCCTACCCCCCCCCCCCTAATGTTGAGTTGGGTCACCCAATGTTCGTACCCCCCCCCCCCCCCAGCATACACACAATATTGAAATAGTTTATCATAACACAAAGACGATTTTTATCATTCCTCACAGTGACGTTACAATGGAGGCTGCAACTGGCAACTTGTAGCCGCAACCTCAGTGTCATGTCCTGAATTGAGGGGTAGCTTTAACTTATTTTAGCGCGGCATCGATGCTTCACCTTGTGGGTTAATTTCAGTTACAAAATGAGAAACCATACAGAAAAAGAAAATTTGCTGGGACATTATTTTGATCTGATTCCGCGCTGAGCGTGGGTAACTGTTAGCATTCTTAACGTATCATTCCATAATTGTAATACATCTTCAACTGATCCAGTTTGCCTCGGTCCCTTATCCAAATAGCATGAAATGACCTTTACCGTGCCATGCGACTACACAACTGTCGGCTGCCCTGTAGCCAGGCTGACACCATGAAGCTAATGGCCTCGTTGACGAGCCATATAAAAACACTTTTTTTGGAAGGCGAACCTACCGCTGCGCGTTTCGCCGCATCATGAATGTGGTCAATATGACTTGATCGCTGTACGAAAGTTGGACTTCAGCCACGACAATCGGTGTTTCCGCGCGGCGATACGCGCCCTTTTTGCGGGCGTTGCACGCATTGCAGCTAATGGGCTCGTAAAAAGGCGACGCCTGTTAAGTGCCTTCTCACTAGCTTTTGTCGAACGATATCA